CAAATAACCACAATTTTTTCTAATTTTCATTAAAATATTGTTTGAAGGGTTGGTTTTTTTTTCATCAAAAATAAAATCTCTCCTTAAGGTCCTTTTGTAGCATTTCAAGTACTTTGACTGTAGGACTTCATAAAGTTTATAGTAGTGCTGTTATCGTGGTTATATATCCATGATGGTCCCCAAAATGCATGAAAAGCAAGGTTTTGTGATGTGAGGCAGTATTCTTTTATTAGAAAAGAAGTTTCTTTCCCAAATTGAAGATAGGGCACTTTGTGCCCAAATGCTTGCTTAATGCATTTCCCAACTATAAAGTTTGTCCTTTATAAACTCTGAACCAACGAATGTCCAATATTTGAAAATAAGACTGAGATCTTGTGGATGATTTTGTGTTAATAATACAGGTGAAAGAAGTTCCAGGTTCTATTTTTAGTTCTACCATTAAGGCCATGTTTGAGCTTGAGTGTGCTACTTAACCATTTTTGCGTTTCAGTTTTCCAACTTGAAAAATGGGAATAAAATATTTACTTCCAGGGGTTTTGTAAGGATAAGTTCATTAATTGGTTTGGTATTTTGAGAATCTTTGTGATCCTTGGGTGGATCAGTATGCAATTGAAAAAAAATAAAATAAGTTTTATCATGCAGCAACACTTACCCATAAAAACTAGGGCTGCATGAAGCTTCAGTCCCTGATTTGATTTGGTGGCCAAATCTCTGAATCCTAATCTAATCAGGAGACCCTTTAATCTCTCTGAATTGAATTGGAACCCTTTGAATTGATTCAGAGAGATTCGGAAAGATTCAGCAATTCGGACATAGACACAGCTTTAAATGTTTTTTTTTATATACTTTGAGGTACCAGGCGGCTCATGAATGCTGAGATGCTGGGTGGGATGGAGCATCCCACAGGAGTGTGGGGGGCTCTCTAGCGCACTTGGCAGTAGACCCAGAAGTGGATCAGAACCACTTCTGGTCCGCTTCTGGGTCTGCTGGGGAGTGCACAGGGGGACCCACATGCCTTCCTGGCTCTGTGATTGGTGCCTTCTGGGTCTGGGGGGGCACCCTGGGTCCCCCCGTGGCCAATTGCTGACTGGGCAAGCGCGGGGGGAGGGGGGCACACACTTTGCAGTGGACCCAGGAGTGAACTGGCAGTACCGGCAGAATCCACTGTTGTTGATTTATCTCCGTACCTCTTTTAACATATACTGTGGTTTTGTAAAAGAAATGTCTGCCTTTTTTGTTTTGCTTTTTTAAGGTATCCATGCTGCTTTGTTGTCTTTATCCATCTATCGGTTCCAAACATTGGTTTTCCTCCCTGAAAAGAAATTTCTTCTATGCACTTTTATTTTTTCCCCCAATGGGGTGCCCTCATGTCCTTGAACTTCTTAGTCTCTCAAAATGTTCATTGCACACACTTCCTGTATACCCTTTTCTTTAATTTGCTTCATACACTTCTCAGTCAGACCTGGATGATCTATTTTCACCTTAATTAACACTAACATTATACCTCTTTATTTCATAGCTTATAATCTATTTTTAATTAACGCAGGACTAATTTTCCACATATCTCCACTTAGTTCTATTTCCTGAAAAATTGTCACACTTGTATTTTTAACTGATTTTTTTTTTTTTTACAAGAATAATTTATATAATATGGTAAGGACACAAAAATACCTGCTGTCCAAATCTAACAGTCTTGCAAGTACTGTGTGGGTGGGAAGAAGAACCAGAGGGAGAGAAAATGTAGCTTGTATATATATTTAAATGCTTACAAAATTTAACTGTAAAGGACTCGGTTCTGCCATTGATGTGATTTGCTCTTTTGTCATTATTATCTTCATCCTCATTGTCTGTTTTCTGATAGTATCTAGGTGCCTGCATCTGGGTTCCTGGTGTCATTGTAACCCCACTTTTTTTTTTTTTAACTTTAAAGGTTTTATTTGAGTTTTAGCTCAAAATTTGAATCTTATTTTATCTCAATGCCTTCAATATTGCTTACATTGAATGTATGGTCTGCTGCTTTTTTTTTTTTTTATGTTCCATCTCTGTAAAAACTTGGGGATGCAAGTCATTTGAGTTTGGAGACTTACCTGTTTCATCTTCTTTATTTACCTCTTTTGGTGTAACCATCTGTGTCAGAAATTTGTCATTTTCTTTCTTGGAACTGGGTTTCATATTTTTCCTGTATCCCTAGGTGAGCAGAAAGTAAAGCAGAAATTGCTTTCCATCTTTATCTGTTGTCTTCCCTCATAATTAAGTTCCCTCAACAGACCTTCATTCAACTCCACCAATCCACAGAATCCTTGTAGATTTGGAAAATATTATTTGTCTTCATTTTATTTTCCATCAATTTTCTCTTCCTTTCTGTTGTTTGTCATACGTGCTGTATCTTCTTTTTGCATCAGCAGCACTATTGATTTATATATTGCACAAGCACTTCTACTTTATTTGATCTCTCCCTAAATATCATTGTGTTTATTTCATTTCTAGGTCTTATTTCTTAGTGGTATTTATATAGACTATTTAATATCTAGTGTGCTTTGCTAGGCCTGTGCTTCTCTAAGGCCAAATGTAATACAAGCCTTTAAAAGATTCAAATCAGGAATCTGTTACAAAATGATTCACTCAGTAATTGTTTGTTCATTATAAAGAAGAATAGAATATTTAAAATGTGAAGTTACCTTTACCTTCAATTTTTAGGATTTTCAGCATCAATTCCTGTAATTTACAGCAGTAAGTCATCACATAGGATTGTGTTCTCCAAAGGCATTGAGTCTAAAATGGATAACTCTTGTGTTGTAAACAGATGCAGCTAATATTTTTGGTCAGAACAGTTATGGCCTAAGTGGTACTTTTCTGAAGCTATTTCTTAAGAAGGTGAGGGGTGGTTAGCCTGAACACAGATGTTTTTGGCATTGTTTGATCCATGCTATATGAGTAGGAAATACATTACTGCATGCAAGTTTCTCACAATTTTTTTCCCAACATTTCCTTTAAAAGGATGCATAACTTTTCATGAAATTGAAAAGGGAGTTATTTGAGAAATGTATATTTTTGAACATCCAAGTCCATTTTTTAAATTTTAGTGACATACTCATCAGTGATCACTTATTTATTAGTTTACTTCAACACTTGCCATTTCTTCCCTCTGTTTTCTTTACAGTTGCCTGAATTTCCAGATATACCTAATTTAGCATGACACATTCTTAACTTTTACTCTTGCTTTAATGTAATGTTAGCATGTTGGGTTTGTAGGGCTTAGTCTACTATGAAGTAAGATGGTCTTATAATTTATATACTTATAATAATGCGTGTCTACATGAAATGCTTACTGCACATTAGCCTAATAACACTGCACAGTAGCGTGGCCATAAAAAACTGTGCTAATAGCCTACTGCACAGTGTTAGGCTAATGCGCAGTAAGCATCACAAAATGAACCTGTGCTGGCACTAGTGCTCAGTAACACTAGTTATTGAGCATTTAGTTAGTACTTTACTAAGCAAGTACTAAACTAATACACAATATCTAAGGCACATTAATGAACTTATAGGCATGCCCATTATATACTTACTAGTGAATTACCCGTCACGAATGATGAGGGCAGGGGCAGGCAGGGACTGAGGGGGGGAAGCTTCCTAACCCTAGAGCTAACCTCCCCCGCATGCTGCCGCCACTTCCCATGAGTGGAGGGAGAGGGGGAATCTTATCCCGCTGTCTCCTCCATCCCCCTTCACCAGCACTTTATGCTGTTGCTACCTCCACGGAGAAGGGCTGGGGAGGGTGAGCTCAGCGCCACTGACCTTGCCCCCCTGCTCCATCCCCTCCATCCCCAACATCATGACAGTGCTCCACCATCTCCAGGGAGCAAGGTCAGTGGGTAGGGAGCAGGGAGAGAGGCCAGCATTGCTAGCCTCGCCCCTCTGCTCTGTCCTTGCTCTGTCACCTCTGAGGAGCAAGGCTTCAGGTGGGGGCGAGGCCAGTGCTGCTGGCCTCACTCCCTTGCTCTGTCCCCTCCATCCCCACTGTCATGGTGTTGCACCACCGCTACCACTTTCTTTCTGTAATGCTCTTGAAGCACCCTAATTGCTTGTTTCAGTAACCAGAGTGCTACAAGAATGTTATGGACAGACAGACTACGCCCTTTATTTTATTAGAATTAGGCTCAGAAGACATGTGTTCAGTTCCTATTTCTGATACAGACATTCTGCATGATCTTGGCAAGTCATTTAATCTCCTTTGCCTCTTTTCCATATCCTTTTCTTTCTCTGTCTCATGTATTTACACCTGTAGATTTTTCAGACCAAGGAGCATATTGTGCTAAAGGACACTGCATGCATTTATATGTGTAATTAGCACATAGCAATAAACTCCAGTGCATTTTGCACCAGAATTTATTGCTACTGGGTGCAGTGTTTACATGTGTGCCCAGGACTACAGCATCTTGAACCATGGTGGAGCAGCCCCAGCTGTCAGGGGCTCAGCCTACCAACCCAGGACTGCTCTGCCCCAGCTCAGTGTGCTGCAGTGGGGTGGGTTGGTGCATCAGGGTGCTACAGTGTGGGGCTCGGCAGCCAGCAGCTTTTTCACTGAGGGCGCCCACATAAGGGCACCCTCATGCCCCAGCCAGTCCTGGTCACCATCTACTTGTGCATTTTAGCGAACATAGCTACTCTGCTATACGATTGTTTACTGCACCCTAATATGGTCACATATGTAGATGGTGATGTTTTACTGTGGAGTTAATTAGTCTACTCCACAGTAATGCTCACAAGTACAGGCACCTACTATGTGCTAATATAATGTAAATAAAAAAATATTCCCCTTTCCTTATAATGCCCTTTTCTGGTTCTTTTTGTATAGTGACCTGGTTCATTGTTGGCAAATCAGGAGTGCTCCCTTTCTGTGCTTTTTAATTACATTTGGAAAGGTTTTCATACTTTTCATTAGTTAGTTGTTATTATTTTCAAAGGTACAAAGTGAACTGTCCCTTTCAATATTTCAGCTGCTAAGTGTGACTTTGAAATAGACAACTGTGGCTGGTCTGAAACTGTAAGCACAGATGCATTTGACTGGGTAAGAAGCTCCAGAAGTGGTCTTCCATCTGCCTTTCAGAAACAAGCTCCTGCACGGGATCATACCTATAACAAATCTGAAGGTAAGACATTGACAGGTCCTGGAAGCATATACACTTGCATTGAACTGCCTACTATTAAATAAGATTTAAAGTGGGGGCAATGACCTCTTCAGAAACCTTCTATGCATTACACTTGCTGCCTTCTAGCCTGACATACAAAAAGTTGCTTTCTATTTTATTTTATTTCAATAGGTCACTTTATGTTCATTTTGCAAAACGGCAGCAGCATTTCGCAGGTTGCTCAGCTACGGAGCCCCAGGTTCAGTCAGACTGGCTCAGATTGCACAGTGTCTTTCTGGTATGAATTAATTTTGATTTTAAATGTATGGAAAATCTGGATTGCATTGAGGTTAGAGTGTGAAATAGTACACATCTCCCTTTGCAGCATTTACTGCTTCTTTTTCTCTTTAGTTGCTGGATGTTTGTTTTAACCATTAATCAAAATAAACTGAAGCTTTTAGAAAAGCCTGTCAGGGGCCCTAACAAGTAATACAGCCTGGGCTATTTGCCTAGTGGGTCACATCTGCCTGGGGCTTTGATTAGCAACCCTAATTCTGCTAATGACTTCAACTGGCTTCTTTTTGGACCTTCTGTTGGGCTGCTGGGAGTACAGCTTCCCCATTCAGCTCCAACTGTAGCTGCAGACTCCAAGTCTGCCAGTGGTTCTTGATGTAGGTCTGCCCTGGCAAGCCTCTTTGGAGCTAATACTCCACAATGTCTGATCCTGTTTGCTCTGTTCCTGGACTCTGACTTCTGGGTTTTCCCTTTTTATTTGGTAATTCAGCCAATCTGGACCTTGCCCCTGGATTTTTCTGGGATTTGGTGACTTGGTACCTGATCCTGACCCCAGATTGGGGCTGTGTTTTGGACTCTGTCCCTGTCTCTGGCCCGCCTCTGGTGGTTTAACCACTAAGCAAGACTACCCATATGTCTCATGACAGAGCCCCCCCATGCAGTGGGGGGGAGTGGAGGGCAGCGGAGATTGCTGCCACTCCCCCGCCCCCCCAGCCTGGCAGCAGCTAGTGAGTGCTAGCCTTTTATTTTATTAAAGAGCCAGGAGGTTGGGACTGGGCAGGGCAGCCACTGATGGGACTGGGAAAGTTGGGGGGGAGATGGGGCCTGTTTCATTCAGAGTTTTGGTTGATTTGGTGGTGGCCAAATCTCTGAATCATATTTGGCTGAATCAATTCAGGGCAGTGATTTGAATCACTGAATTGAATTGCTGTCCCCCAGATTGGCCAAATCCAAATTGAATACTAGCTGCTTTGCACAGGCCTAGTAGACATGTCACGTCAGTTTTTGGTTGTGTTCCCTCTCCTGCCTTTTTGCCTTCTGTGCAACATTTGAACCATTCACTTGTCTGTTTTTTTGCATGTCAGATCGGTATAGTGCAGGGATAGCTAAACAGAGGTCTCATGAGTAAACAGGCAGTTCCAGTGCAGTTTAAATTTATCTCCTGAAGAAACAGAAATAGTATTTTCCTCATTCCCTACCTATCTTTTATTCTGAAAAATCATGCTCTGACAAGTTATCTGAGTGGGCACAGATAATTGACTGTGAGGTATGTACATCTTAAGTTGTCTCTTGCATCTCTTGGCCATGTCAAGGTTTTTGTTTGTGACTTGAAGGGTTAGATAGTTTTGGCCATTTTAGGAGCATTTACCTACCTCACAGCTATGTTGGAAGTATTGTGTTTAGAAAAGTGCTTGGAGATCCTGAATGAGAAGTGCAGTAGAATTGTAAAGTAGTATTAATCATTACTGTGGATTGAAAGCATGTTCTTGCATTCATTAAATGTTTGTCCTTCCTTTGTTGAAACTTTAAAATTATTCATTGAATTAAATTCATAATGGTAATATTTTGCATCAGAGTGAGCCCCGATCATTGCTTAATATAAGAAAAATGTCTCTATCTAGCTGTGGATTATATCTTAATTAAGTATGCTTCCTCCATCACAGTCTTAACTGCTTCAGAAAAGACCAAGATTCACACACCACCCAATCCTGTCAAAAATTAGATAAGCTAATATATCTGTGGTATAACAATGAGATCATATAGAGAATGAAGTGAATTGCTGCTGAGATGGATGTAAGCTCTGTGGGCTTACTTCATTCCATTAAATTAAATGGAGTTATAACAAAGGAGATGTTGGTCAGTATATGTAAAGTAATTTGTTCTCATCATTTACACCTTTGACTTTTCTGCTTTTTTCTCTTTTAAAGGTATTACAATTATGGTCTCTCAGTTGGAGCAGCAGAAATGCAACTGCATATTGATGGGCTGAAGGACCCCACTGTTCTATGGAGGATATACTATAATCAGGGTTATCAATGGTTAAAGGCCTTCATTCAGCTTGGCCGCCTCCCTTGGCCTTTCCAGTTATCATTAGATAAAATTAGCCTTGGGTTTTATGATGGTGTTTCAGCGATTGATGACATAACATTTGAGAACTGTGCTCTTCCACCTCCAGCAGTAAGCTGTGATGCTCATGATCATTTCTGGTGCAGAGACACGAGGGCTTGTATAGACAGTTCATTGGTTTGTGATCTTGTGGATAACTGTGGGGATGGATCTGATGAGGAAAATTGCAGTAAGTACTATAAAATCTATTCTTTATTCTGTAATGACAGTAGTCTTATTAAATTCATCTGTGGAGTAAGTTAGTTCAGCTTCTATTTTAGTACAAGGAAGGTAAACCTATGTACACCAGAGTCAAATATAGCTATTGTTGCAATAGAATCTGAAAATTATTCAGATCCCGTACACATGTGACAAACTCCAGAGGACAGACTTTGGAGAACCTGAGAATAAATACTTGTAGGTCATTCTTCTAATTGGAAAAGTAGCCATACTTCTGTCACTTTGGCAAGATACAGGAGGGCACAATATGTTAGTTTATATTTGCTTGGTACTGTATTTAATCAAATCTAAGATGACCCTCAATTCAAGATGACCCTCAAAAACTAGAATCTATGCATGGAAAATTTATAAATTTGTTATAATTTTCCATGTATACAATCTAATTATTGAGGGGTCATCTTTAATTTGTCCCTCCACCATTGTAGGGGGATAGGTGGCAAGGGAGAGGGGTATAGCACCCTGCCATCTCCCCTGTAGCTTTCCCCCTGCTTGTACCTGACCCCTGCAACCTCAGCCCCCCCCTTTCCCCTTCTGCCTCTGATCCCCCTCCTGACCCTCCCCCCA